AGGAGGGCGGGCAGGTGCAGGGGCGGTCGGTGCTGGCGCTGCTCGTTAAGATGACGGGAGTGAAGCTGAAGCTGGGGCCCGCCATAATCTGTCGCGGCACCTCGATCAGAGCGCGCGAGAAGGGCGGGCCGGGGATGTGCAGCAGCCCCTAGCATTCCTCGGCGAAATTTCGGGGGTGAAGCTGGGGCCCGCCAGCGTCTGCTACAGCGCCCCGGTCAGCGCGCGCGGGATGAGCCGGCGGGGGCAGTGGCGGCCGGCCTTGGCGCTGCTCAGCGAGATGTCGCGGGTGGAGGTGGAGCCCGCCACCGCGCGCTGCGTCGCCCCGATCGGCGCGCGCGAGATGGGCGGGCAGGGGCGGCGGCGGCCGGCTTTGGCGCTGCCAGGCAACCCGCTGGGAGTGAAGCTCGAGAACCCATCGTCTGCTACAGCGCCCCGATCAGCGCGTGGGGGCAGGGGCAGTGGCGGCCGGCCCTGGCGCTGCTCAGCGAGATGTCGGAAGTGAAGCTGGAGGGCGCCACCGTCTGCCACGGCGCCCCGATCAACGCGCGGGGGAAGGGGCAGTGGCAGACGGCCCTGGCGCTGCTCGGCGAGGCGCTGGGAGTGTAGCTGGAGCCCGCCACCATGCGCCGCGGCGCCCCGGTTCGCGCGCGCGAGCAGGGCGGGCGGGGGCGGCGTGAGAAGCGACGGTCTTTTAATGCCTGAGCCCGCGATGACTTGGGCTTAAATCTTGACCCCAAGCGTGCAGGCCCTTGTTCTCCCAGGCGCTGGTGGGATTTCGGGGGCTGTATCTTGATCGTGCAAATCCTCGTTCTCATGTGCAGTGGCGGGACTTCTGGGGGTGCGCCTTGCTGGTGGGCCGCTATCCCACGCCGTGGGCTTGTTAGTCCTGCGCGGTTGCCTCCAGGAGTTGCAGTGTCAGCAGGCCCTGGCGCTATTTAGCGAGATGATGGGGGTGCAGCTGGATCCCGCCGTCATCTTCCACGGCAGCCCGATCGGCAAGGGCGAGAAGAACGGGCGTGGGCGGCGTGGGCAGTGGCACCCAGTCCTGGCGATGCTCGGCGAGATGTTGGGAGTGAAGGTGGAGCCCGCCATCATCCGCGACGGCGCCCCGATCGGTAAGTGCGAGAAGGGCGGGCGTGGTCAGCGGCAGCCGGCCCCGGTGTTCTCGGCGAGACTTTCGGAGTGAAGCTGGGGCCCACCATCGCCTGCCACAGCGTCCCGATCAGTGCGTTGGAGAAGGGGCAGTGGCTACCCCGCCAATCGGCAGGTCTGGCAGCAGTAACAGCGCTGGGTCGGCGACCCCGCCAATCGACCGCCCCGCCATTCGGCTGCTCTGGCAGCAGTTGCAGCCAGCTGCCCCGCCGGTCGGCCAGGTCGGACCGCGCCCGGGGATCCTCTGCGCCGCCGGGGGGGTGGGGGGCGGGCAGTTTTGTTGTGGCGCCTGCAGCTCTCTTGTGGCGCCCTCGTCTTCAGGGCCTCCCGTGTGCTCGCGCCTGGTCAGGGTGCCGGGCTCCGCGTGGTCGGGCCTCCTGGGGTGGTCTCCTTGCGTATGCCGCCGCCGAGGTCAGATTGCATGTGGTGTTCTTTTGCGGGCTGTGCTCCTGGGTCTTCCGCGAGCTTTGCGGCGCTTTCCGCGTCTTGTCCGAGACGTCAGACTATTTGGTGGCGACCTAGATGTCGGTGCGTGCAGAGCACCTCGCGTCTTTACTTGTGTTGCTTGGGTGGTGCTGTGCGTGCCCATCTCGGTCGGCGTCCCGATTGCAGCCCGTTTTCGGCCAGCCTGGACGTGGCGCTGACGCTGGCCTCTCCTCGATGGCGGGGCTTGTGGATTTTATGGTGCGGCGACTTCGGGAGGTTTCGGCTTCGCGTGCGTTGCTTCTGCGCGTGCTGCGCGCCGCGTTGCGAACGCTTTCTGCGGCGTTATTGTGTGTTCGGATGGCGCAGTGTGGTGCTGCCGTTCTTGCTATTGCATCTTGCGTCGGTGGTTCGTAGTTTGGCACCCTGTTCATTAGTTTCATCAGGCCGTAGCTTTCCCATCGCTGCCCTGACTATTTGTTGGTCTGGCACCTTTACAGGTCTTTATCTTCAGTGTCTACCACCTCCTAATGAGATAGTGGCACGGATTAGCACGGTACTGCTTCTTTCGCTTCTAACTATCCGCGTCGAGCTTCTGTTCCTCGGGCTTTTAGCCGCTGCGCCTCGGCTATCCAGCGCCAGTCGTTTTTTGTTTGTTTGTTTGTTTCTTTTGTGTGTTTTCTTATTTGTTTCCCCTTTTTTCGTTTGCCCCCCCCCCCACACAACCTTTTTGCATGGCCGTGACTGGGTTGTCCCATCCTTTTTGCGTTCGACCAAATTCGTTCGGAATTGGCATTTCCACCTGCCGACCGCGCCCGAGATCCCTCTGCGCCACCGATTCAAATTGTGTATCGTGTCATTCCCAACGCTTCTGTGTGTGGTGGGTCTTCGTTTAGAGTCCGCAGCGCCGCGCATCTCACTCCTTCCTCCTCTCCCGTCTCCCGTCCATTTCCTCCTTTTCCTTTTCTTGTTTCTCCCCTTGCTCTTCCTCTTCCTGCTCCGTTTCCTCTTCCTGCCTTGGCCAAAGTCGGTACGCCCTCACGCGCTTTGTTTCGGCGCGCCCATCACGCATTTCCTGTCCCCAGGGGGCTCCGCCGAGGGCTTCAGTGGGTGCCCATCGCATGGCCTCGCCCGGCCCAGTGCGGTGCGCCTCTCAGACTTTTCATGCCCCCCAGGGAGTTGCGCCGAGGACTTCAGTGTGTGCGTTTGCACGGTGTCGCCATTCCCATATCGGCGTTCCACTCACGCACTTCCTGCTTCCCAAATCGCCTCGCACATGTCTTGCCCCCAGGTCGTTCCGCCGACGGCTTCAGTGGGTGCGTTCGCGTGGCGTCGCCACGCGCATTTCGGCGCACCCTTCACACATTTTTTGCTCCAGAGGGAACCCCACCGAGGGTTTCAGTGGGTGCGTTCGCACGGCGTCGCCCCGCCTATTTCGGCAAATCCTTCACGCGTATCATACCATCCAAAACGCTTTTCCGCTGGTCCACCAGTCTGCGTTCGCATGGCCGCTCACCGCCGAATTCGGTTCACCCTTCTGGCGTTTCGTGGTGCCCAAGAATATCCACCGAGTGTCCCGTTACTGCGTTCGCATGGCGTCGCCCCCGCCAATTCTGGCACACCTGTCACACATTTCATGCCCCCTAGGGAGCTCGACCGAGGGCTTCAACGGGTGCGTTCGCATGGCGTCGCCCTACCCATTTCGGCACATCCCTCACTCATTTCCTGCCCCCCACGGAGATCCATCAATGACTTCAGTGGGTGCGTTCGATTCGCGTCGCCCTGGTAATGTCGGCACACCCGTCACACATTTCCTGTCTTCCAGGGAGCTCGGCCGATGGCTTCAGTGGGTGCGTTCGCATGGCGTCGCCCCGCACATTTCGGCACATTCCTGACACATGTCGTGCCCCCCACGGAGCTCCACCGAGGGCTTCAAAGGGTGCGTTACCATGGCGTTGCCATCTTCATTTCGGCACGCCCCTCACGCATTTCGTGGCTGTCACGCACACCAATCATCATTTGCCGCATGTTGTTCTAGAGTTGTTGTGTCGGTTTTGAAGGGTGACACCATCGCACAGTTTTGAAAGTCGTGCTCCCCTCTCATGCCAGACACCCGTCGTGCTCCGCGTCGCATTCATCGCCATCCTCCCCATTGCGGGTCGATCTGTGAAAGTGTATGTGTGAATGGGGGACATAGTTCGCGGTCTGACCGTTTTTGGCGAGGTTGTCGGGAACAGTGCAGATCCTTCAGCGTGTTCTTGTGATTTGAGCTGTCCAGAGTATAGTTACCCTGTGTTTGGATAGGGTTCGGTTTTTCGCCAGGCTAATTGTTTTTTTAGTCAGTGGACTCTCCCAGCTCTTCTATTTTTCACTCTCCCTTGCACGACCTGTGTGTGCTGTTGAATTCTCTCACACAACCGCCCGCTTGCTTTGCGCAGCATTTTTTCTGCGCACGACTGCCACCATTCAGTCCACCCACCTTACGCCAGGTGTACATGTGCCTGACCGTGTCCCAAGTTAGCGCTTCGTGACGGTGCCGTCCGTCACCTCGCCGCTGGAGGAACAAATGTGTGGGTGCCGCGTTGTGTTCCTCTGTTTAAAGTATTCCGCCCAGCTTCAGATATACCACGCAGTCTGTGCCGGCTCTCACGACATTGCTCGCGCCGAATTGAAGGGCTTCGGTTGGTAAGCACACGCTTGCCCTCACACACCATTGTCCATTTCGATCCGAGCGATCCGATTCGACATCGATTCTGGCCAGCCCGATCCAACTCGGTTCCGATATTCCGACGATGCTGTGTGGCTCGATGCGTGCGTGGCGGCGACGCCGAACCGATTTCGGCACACCCCCTCACACGCTTCGCGGCCCCACAGGGAGCCCCACGCTTCAGCAGCAGCGCTGCGTCGAAGGCCCAAGTAGCTGCGTTCGCATGGCGTCGCCGCAGCCATCTTGGCTCTATCAACGGCGCCAGCGCCAGTGCCCGCGTGGCGGCACCGCCCCATTTAGGCACACTCATCGCAGGCTTTGGGCCCTATAGGGAGCTCCCTTTCCTTCGTGTCGGCTGTCTCGCGCCTGCACATGGTTGGGTCTTTCGCCAGGGAACTTTTCACAACGTGGCTGCCGAGAGTTCTGGACTCCTGTCGTGGGACTGGTGTTTCATCCCGAGCCGGCTTTTGACTGTCCTGGGGCCTTGTCATCGCCTTGGGAGGCCGAAGCGGCTAAAATCTTACCGTTGTGTTTTTGTTCGCGACGCGAGGGGGGCAAGCACATGCTGGCGCTGACACGCGCTCTGAGGATCGTCGGTGCCTCTTCCTCCCCCTCCCTCGCCGAGCTGATCCGAGCTTGGCCGTCGCGCCCGTGCCGCGCGCCGCCGCCTCACCCCTGCGATGCCGCGCCCTGCGGTCGCCGCGCGGCGGCTTGACCGATGCAGGGCGTGAGCCCTTCGCGGCCGCCCTCGGCCCCCATCGCGGCTGAGGGCTGGGAG